TCTCATTCTCTCTCTCTCAAATAAATAAATAAAATCTTTAAAAAAATAAAAATAAAATAAAATAAATAAATAAACAGATAATGCTTAAATGGCTTTGGATTTCTCTCCCCGCTATTGGGTTGGTTTATCTTTATACGATCGCGGTGTCTCTTAGCTCTTTCTACTCCCTTTTAGATAAGCATTCTATTGGACATGCAGCCCCAGGAGCCTAAGATTACAGAACTCAGAAATGCAGTAGTGATGGAGTTTAGAGTGTTTTCCATGATAAAACCAGAGACTCCTCTGCAAAACCACAAAACGATGGCATCCTACAGCTCTGTCCCCATTCTGAGAATCGTATTTAGGACAAAGGACTTCCACTGGCTTCATTATAGTGAGTTCAGTGCCAGGAGCTGACCTAGCCTGATTTGAGAAACGCAAGTTGCAGACCCGTTTGGTGGACGCTGACCTGTACAACCCTGCCGATCTGGCGTGGCCTGGTACCCGGGATTACAGGAGCACTGATAGGTTCCAATCATGTTCACACATTTCCCATTTCTACAGAGATTGTCACTCAGGGAGCATTCATTTATATCTATAAAAAGATACACAGCATTAATGTCTTTGCCGTAACCATATCATTTAAAGTACCAAGGAATGTTGCACGTGACTACTGGTCCCCACGGTGGTTTGCGTACTTTTCGGGGAAGTAAGATGATCTCCTGGGGTGTTAAAAGGAAATACTGCAATCTGTATTTCTATCTAAGACGGTACCGTCCAGTAGAACTCTGTACACTGATGGGACTGTTCCGTATCTCTGCTATCCAGTACATAGCTGCTATTGAGCATTTGAAGCATGAACAAAATGATTAAGGAATTGAAATTTAAAAACATTTTTTAATTTAATTTTTTTAAAAATAATCTCTTTGCCCAACATGGGGCTCAAACTCACAACCCCAAAATCAAGAGTCACATGGTCTACCAACGCAGCCAGCCTGGTGCCCCAGAAATTACATTTTTAATGTTACCAAATTTTAATTAAATTTAAGTAGCCACATCTGGGTCGTGAACATGAGACATGTACATGTAGCATATGCCAGAAATAAAACTCACTAATATTTAATATACGAATTTACACTGGCATGCTCACCTGGCCTTTATTAGATGGTCAAGAGTTGCCTGAATAATGTGGAGGATCCTGAGGCAAGAAGGCTGGTTCCCCAAGCCAGAGGGCCTGATACCAGGGCCTGCACTGTTTGTGTGTTTCCATCTTACTGTGTTTAGTGTGCCTCGACAGGTGGATCTACATCACCTACTTTAAAATCAACTAACCCTTATAAGATAGGCAGGTGCCTTATAAAAAACTTCTGCAAAGGTCTGTGGAATCAAGTAGTGCTATTACTGCAATTATAAGAGAACAGCAAGAAAATCGTAGCATATAAGCTACTCGTGAGACACAACGTAAGGTAGAAACAATGACAATATCATTGGGTAAAATTAGACCTTCAAATTCTTAATCGCAGGAAACAAACTGAGTGTTGTTGGAGTGGGGGGTGGGGTGGGAGGGATGGGGTGACTGGGTGATAGACACTGGGGAGGGTATGTGCTCTGTTAAGCGCTGTGAATTGTGCAGGATTGTTGAATCTCAGATCTGTACCTCTGAGACAAATAATGCAAGATATGTTAAGAAAAAAAAAAAAAGAAGAAGAAGAAGGTAGCGGGAGGGGAGGAATGAAGCGGGGGAAATCGGAGGGGTGGACGAACCATGAGAGACGATGGACTCTGAAAAACAAACTGAGGGTTCTAGAGGGGAGGGGGGTGGGAGGATGGGTTAGCCTGGTGGTGGGTATTGAGGAGGGCACGTTCTGCATGGAGCACTGGGTGTTGTGCACGAACAATGAATCATGGAACACTTCATCTAGAACTAATGATGCAATGTATGGGGATTAACGTAAGAATAAAAAAAAAAAAAAGAAAAAAAAATTAGACCTTCATCCCAGATTCTCAAAATTACCAAGAAGACTACGTGACATGTGGATTTATATCTATGATCATGAAATGCATATTTCATTAAATGTGCAAAAATATGCATCTTATATTATATAATACACCTGTAAGGGGTACTTTTTTTTAGCTATAGGATCCATGAAAACTAACAAAATAAATTCGAGTTAGAAACAGGTCTCTGATTCACTGGATCACAAAGATGAACAAATATTCTGTAATCATCTTTATGAAAAAGTTTTAGTACCACTATTGAAATGAAATAAAAATATTTAGGGGTGCCTGGGTGGCTCAGTTGGCTAAGCGCCTGCCTTTGGCCCAGGTTATGATCCCAGGGTCCTGGGATCGAGCCCCGTGTCGGGCTCCCTGTTTAGCGAGGAGTCTGCTTCTGCTTCTGCCTTTGCCCCTCCCCGCTGCTCATGCCTTCTCTCTGGCTCTCTCTCTTTCTCAAATAAATAAAATCTTAAAAAAAAAGACTTTAAAATTTTTTCAATTTACCTTTTAAAAATGTCTGTTTAGTGTATGATTTAAGATTCACCTAATATATTAGCAGAACAATATAAATAGGGTTTATAAATAAATACATGTCTAGTGGAAAGGTGTGCTCAAATTCTGTTTTGAAATGGGGGTGTGCCATCTGCTCTGTTTTAAACCGTTTTTACTTGCTGACACTTGCGAGAAAGATTTTCTGTGAAGAAAATGTTTCCTGACCACATCAAGGTTTTAAAACCAACACACCAGAGCTCAGGAGTCCCAGAGGCCTCCGTATACATATGAAAAGCTGTCGGATGGAATGCTCCAAGACCAGCAAGACCAGCCGGTGTTCTCACGGCACCCCTGCCACCCCCCGCCCCTCAGCTCTGTCAGCAAAGAGACCAGGATCTTTCTGTGACAGGAGGGTGACGAGGGAGCTCACGTGCTCCCACACACAGGAGCAGACCTCGTGATGACAGACACGGGGGTGCTGAATGAATGGCAGGGAGACGCACAGGGGAATGCACAGGTGAGCCCTCAGGGAACAGCCCTTCCAACAGCAGCAGCTTCCCCAGCCCATCGTCTGTGGAGGAGGGACCTACGTGGCCTGACACAGGGTCCACCACAGGCATGCCTATCATCAAACAGTGGGTCACCAGGACAATGCCGGCTCCTTTGAGTGTGTCACTGAGGCATTCTCTAAGGACACAGCCCGAATCCAAATAAAGGGGCTCTGAATTTCCAACTTTGAACCAGCTAGATTGCACGTGCCCAAAACAACAAATTTGTTAGAATTGACCGCTGATCTTTAGGATCTCCACCAGGTGAGCTGGGTGGGTTTATGTGCTGAGGAGACAAAAACTCACCCACACAGTCCTCACGTGACGGTGACAGCTCATGTCCCAATGGACAGTCACACTGAAAGCTGCCCTCAGTGTTCACACAGGTGCCACCCCTACAAAGGAGAGGGTTACGTTCACATTCGTCAATGTCTGAAAGGTAAAAACGTGAGATCCATTAAAGAACTCTGAGGGGAAAACATTCACGTATACAGCATGGGGGGGAAAATGATCAACTGAGGTAAGTGGGACTCAAACGTAAGAGACAGGTTTCAGAGGAGGTTTGGATAATGTTCTCCTCACTTTTTCTACTACCCGTAAATAAATGGTAAGCTTTTTTCTTAAAGACAGTGAGTTATCAGGGAATTGACTTGCGTGAAACAAGCAGACTCACAAGAGATAAAAATAAACAGTATTTGTTTCACATCACCCTAAATTCCAGGCACCATATATTGCTATCCATACCTCTAATCAAAGTAAAGGAAAAATCACAGACTGATCATCACCTTTTATGTCCCATGCGGTGAGTCCTGTAAGTCACTAAATATGGACCAAAAGGTAGGCAGTACCAAGGGATTGTAATAACGCACAAAAAAAGAAATAACATGGGATTTGAGTGGCTGAATATAAATTTGGGGTCACCCCCCAAGGTCATGCATGTTAAGTGAATCCCTTGTGGGTATTAGTCTGTGCTGATTTTAGATTCTATGAACAAACAGAACCCAGTCTCAGTATCTCACTGCCACCGAGGCACCAAGAGGCTGGGGCTCCCCGAGAGTTATCTCGGAGCAGATTTCCTGTCTGACACTGAAATCTGTTCTCTCGCTCACCACAGCGCCTGGCCAAGCACGCTGCTAACGGCTCGGAGACAGGCCAAGGTCGAGCTCCCTGGTTTGGAGACCGGACGGGAAGAGCCGAAGCACACTTACCCATGCAGTTCTTCATCATCATGAACCCACTTTCGTAGCCTTCGAAGCACTCACACTCGAAGCTGCCTGGCATGTTGACACAGATGCCACTTCCACAGAGGTCAGGAGAAATCCTGCACTCATCAATGTCTAAGTCACGGGGTTGAAAAGAAATGAAAAAAATCGCATGAGAGGAGCAGGTACTGAAGAGCAGTGGGGCAGGTGCGGCCTTCCCGGGGAAGGTGCAGCCCCCGGGAGGTGCCGGCGAAGTCAGCGGCTAGCAGTAAGAAGCTCCGCGTGCCCGAGATCAGCTCGAGGCGAACGGGGCCCTGGGCACATTCCTTCCCCCAACTGCCAAAACTGTCACGGCCAACGGGCAGGTGTGCGTTGGCCTTTAAGAATTCTGGAATTGTGGATTTCTCTTTGTGGCTTAGAAGTGGTAACAGAGGGATGAACAGAGCAACTGCGGTATGAGCCAGACAAGGCAGGTGGCAGATGAGGACGCAGTGGACACATGGAATGAAGTCCTGGGCACGCAGTGGGGTGGCTGGTGACCAGCACACCCAGCCAGCCTCAGAGGCAGACGTGGCCCCCCAACTTCCAGCTAGACAGTGTACATACATGGCGGAGCTGTGAAATATGCTCCGGGGTCTGTTTTTCTGTCACGTTCAGATGTGGAGGGGCTACTGATTGATTTCTCAAAATAAAAATAAAGAAAAATGATGTGTTCGTCACTCTACATACTACGGAAAATAAGACTCTTCAACGGCAGCTTTTATGTTATCAAAAACAAGATTCTCTGAGGAATATCCCATGCTCGTAACTGAGATTTTTTCATAGAGAAGTCATGTCTATAAATATAATTGAGAAAACATGATGTATTTAAAAAAATTTTTTTTTTGTCAGGAAAGTTTTGGTAAGAAAAAATGCCTTTGCTGGCATCTCTTCATTTTGGTGAATTTTAATTCTGAAGTTCTTCTATCACAGGATTTATCAGGGGGTAACTTGTACATGCTCTCTTGGGTGTCTCAGTCTCAGAACGTCAAATGCTTTCTCCCAGCATTTGGTCTTTATTTATTTCCCAAATTACAGGCAATACTGAAGATATGCTTTTAAACAAAATTCTTAACACCATTCACTGATTCAATTAGGCAGCTAACACTATGCATATTGATTCTCTTGCTTGTTGTCTATCAGTATCTAGAAACTGGTAGCTAGAGATGTTTGAAGAATAGAGAATGAACTCACTGGCAGAGCACAGACATGTTCTGGCTGATGTGATGTGCTGGTTGCTGCAGTGTGGAGTGTGGACTCTGGAAGCAGACACCTAGGTACCAATCCTAGTTCTATCATCTACTGGGTGAAGAGGCTTGGGAAAATCATTTCATTTCTGTGTGCTTCAATTTCCACATCTGTAAAATGGGGAGTATAGTACAACCCACCTGCTAGGATTAAGTGAACCAGTATTTGTCAAGCGCTGAGAACAGTGCCTGTCTCATACAAAGTGCTGTATCCATGGAAACGGTTTTCTGCTAAAAACTGGTATTTTGGGAGGAGGTGGCTTTGAACTGGTCCTTTGAACAGAAATTCAAACTTTAGGGGGCTCCTGGGTGGCACAGTTGGTTGAGTGACCGACTCTTGATTACAGCTCAGGTCATGATCTCAGGGACTTGAGATCAAGCCCCTCACTGGACTCTAAGCTCAATGAAGAGTCTGCTAAAGTTCCTCTGTCCCTCTGCTCCTCCCCAGGCTCACGCGCACATACTCTCTCTCTCTAAAATAAATAAATACATCTTAAAAAAAAAGAAATTCTAACTTTAAAGATGTGGAATGAATAGGACAAGAGATAAAGTGCACAGGTGAAGAAAAGTAATGCATTTCAGAGAACAGTCCATTGCAGAGTGCCTGGATGGCAGAGGTTGATAGCGCAAGGACAGGTAGGATGGGTGTGATTAGTGAGGGTGCCAAAAGAACACGGGCTTTAAATGTTGTGAAGAATGGCGGCCAACAGTGTCCCGCTGTCCTGTCATGTTATACACCACAACACTGCAGTGTGACCAACAAATGTCTCTCTTACACAGTTAAAGGCGGTGAGTTTCAGAGTCATTAAGTAACTTGGCTAATTTCACACCAAAAACTGGAAGAACCCTGTCTTCACCCAGGTTTAAAACTGTGAGTCACTGAAAGTTGCTTTGTGGGCAGTAACACATGGTGGTTGGTGAACATGAAGGATCAATGGCATGGAAGACCCTGGAAGAATCTGCCATGCAGTGAATACTGCCACATGTTGCCCAGTTCCCCGTTTAGGAAGGAAGGACTTACTCACCTTTCCCCTGCTGCTTCTGGGGGGCTTTGGGGCACAAAGCCCTGAGATGTAAACTATCTTCCAGAAATGCCTCAGCTAAGAGGAACATTCCTCATACTCACACCCCTTCTCTGGGCAGATGTATCCAAAGACTGACCATACAGGTCCACAGACACCTAGTCTTGTTGCCCTAAGACAGTTCTGACGGGCCATCCTAGATCCAAAGCTCCCGGTGGGGTGGGCTGAGGGCCACACTGGGACTGATGGCCGCCCGGCCCACTTCTGCTTTCTTCCGTTCCCTCCCCGAGGTGTCGATCCCAAGAGCAATCCCTAGTAAACCTTCTGCAGGCTAATCTCTGCTCAGAGTCTATTTCCTGAGGAGCCGAGATGGCACCTACAATAGTCTTGAAGAAAGAACAAAGAGTATAGTACTTGGAACAACCACTGCGATGGAAAATATACATAACTTCTTCCTTGTCCGAGACAGGGAGAGATCAAAACTAGATCTGAGGCCTCGATCCTGAGTGAAATGATGCTATTGCTATAGACAAGGAGGTCGCTAGGCAGAGGAAGGGTGGGGATGGGACAAAGGGAGGCTAAAGTGAAGAGGCGCTGCGGGATGGCAGATGCAAGCATGGCACTGAGGCAGAGGAGAGGACAGAGCCTGCCTGTGCAGGCAGGGGGCCATAGGCAGCTGTGAGAGGCGGAGGACTCTGGAAAATGCCAAGGGCAGGAAGAATCTGTGAAGATGAACAAAGACACATCACTGGCACAGATGGATGACCGAGACAGGGAAGGACCACAGAGACCAAGAGAGAAGAAAATCGGGGAGGGGATGCGGCCAGCAGAGAGGTCATGGAGAGTATGCACCAAGAGAAAGGTATTTTTTCAACCTGACAAAGGTGTTCTGTGAGAGAATGTATATGTGCCTCAACAAGGGAGGGCAGAAGTCAAAATTACATGAATCCAATCAAGAAATGGGCAGAAGACATGAACAGACATTTTTCCAAAGAAGACATCCAAATGGCCAACAGACACATGAAAAAGTGCTCAATATC